AGGAGGAGGAGGAGATCGACCGCACGCCCTGGGGGGAGCTGGAGCCCTCGGACGAGGAATCCTCGGAGGAGGAGGAGGAGGAGGAGAGCGACGAAGAAAAACCCGACGAGACCGGCTTCATCACCCCCGCCGACAGGTGGGCACCCCAAAAACCTCGGGGGCACCCCAAAAAACTCGGGGGGTACCCCAAAAAAATCTCCCAGGTGTCCCCTAAACCTCCCTAAATTCCCCCATAAATGAGCGACTTCTCCTGGGTTTGATTTGGGGTGAGGTGTTGGGGGGGGCAGCTGTGGGGCACCCCAAAATCTCAGGGGCACCCCAAAAACTCACAGGGAGCCCCAAAAAAACTAAGGTGTACCGCAAAAATCTCCCAGGGGTCCCCTAAACACCCCCCCCCCCAAAATTCCCCCATAAAGGAATGATAAATTTGGGGTGAGGAGTGGGGTTCAACCCCCAGGGACAGCTGGGGAGCAACCCAAAAATCTCAGGGGTACCCCAAAAACTCGGGGGTGCCCCAAAAAAATCTCCCAGGTGTCCCCTAAACCCCCCCTAAATTCCTCCATAAAGGAAAACTAAATTTGGGGTAAGGAATGGGGTTCACTCACCCCAAGAAACCGAGGGGCACCCCAAAAAATTTAGCTGCACCCCAAAAAGACTCTCAAATGTCCCCTAAACTCACCCAAATTCCCCCATAAAGCAATGATAAATTTGGGGTGAGGAGTGTGGGGTTCATCCACCGCATGGACAGGGGTTGGGGCACCCCAAAAACTCTTGGGGACCCCCCCCAGCACTCAGGGAACCCCAAAAACTTCTTGGGACCCACAGGGACCCCCAAATCCCCCCATAAAGGGGAAATCCTGTGGGGGATTTTTTTGGGATGGGGAGTGGGGTTCATAATTCTTTGAGGCAAATTGGGGGGACCCCCCCCTCCGGCATCCGGGGTACCCCAAGAACTCAGAGGGGACCCCAAAAACTCGTGAGGACCCCCCCAGTGACCCCCACACCCCCTGAACCCCCAAATCCCCCCACAAAGGGGGAACCCTGTGGGGTTTTTTTGGGATGGGGAACGGGGTTGGTTCAGTCCTCTCTGAGACAAACTGGGTGGGGGGGCTCCCCAAAATTTTGGGGTGCCCCCTGACCCCCCAATCCCCCCCCCCAGCGGGTTGATCACCCCGGGGGGCTTCTCCTCGGTGCCGGCCGGGATGGAGACCCCGGAGCTGATCGAGCTCCGCAAGAAGAAAATCGAGGAGGCCATGGACGGGTGAGGGGGTCTGGGGGGAAATTTGGGGAAATTTGGGGAAATTTGGGGTTTTGGAGAGGTTTTTGGGAGGGTTTTTTGTGGATTTTGGGGGGACGTTGGGGTTTTGGAGAGGTTTTTGGG